TACAAAAGCTCAGTCAACAGCATTTGTAGCGTAATGTTGATTACCATAAAAATAAAAAGAAGAATTTTAGGAAGGCCCTTCAAATGGAAGTGAATGAGGCCAGTTGTGAAGGATTTAAATGCTGAAATGTCAAGCTTCAAAATGTATAAAAACACAAATTCCTCAGTTAAAATATATGTATTATTATTATTATTTGTATCTGTAAAGCTGTTTATTTATGATTACCATAGGGTTTATGGTGTTGCAGTTATGGCTTTACATAGAACATTTTTGTAAACTATTTTTCACAATACAATCATGTTAAGAAATATTATGTCATGTGGACATATTTTTGAAACTGAGTATTTTTTGTTTACAAATTCACCCATTCACTTCCATTATGAATGCCTCACTGTAACCCAGATTTTTTTTTTTTTTTTTTTTTTAGGAATAGGACGGAAATGCATTTTTGTTGAAATCAGCATTAGCCCCAAATGCTGTTGTTTGAATAGAACTGAACTGGATAATGACACTAACTTTGCAACATCAACACCATCATTGAACAGAATTGAATCAACATTGAATTGATTTGAGCTGAATGATGACACTTATTGCCTTCTGTAGAGCTGCTTATAGCTAAATTGAACTTGTTTCATAATGGATGAACCTTGCAACATTGACCATTATTTTCCTGTTTATTAATGTGACGCTGCTTTTAAACTATTTGAATTGTATAAAGCGTTATACAAAGAAATGTGACTTGACTTGAACCTGTTTAGTGTTCACGCTGCTAAATATCCAAAGGCAGTTGACATTATACTATCATAGTATCAGCAAAAGACATCTGAATAATTTCAGCAAATTTGTAACTGAAGCAAGTAATGAGATAATTAAGATGAGATGAGAGAATACATGAGTAGTTAAGCGAAGCTGCTTTGTGAGAGTGTGCTGAATAGGCAATGTGAGTTTAGACAAATAATTGCATTCTATGTTTAAAAAAAAGTTAATGATATCATTATAATGCTGCTGCCATGCTGCCGAAGTCGGTCGCTGTGCAGTCGCTCTCTCTCTCTTTATCTCTTCATCTCTGCCTTCAGTCTGCAAGACCCCCCATCTCCAACTTTCCTTGGACAATACTTCAGAAAAACTAGTCAACCTCCAGTAAATAAGGGGCATTAGTTATTGAAGCGCATGTTGCTCATTTGTTTTGGCCACTTCTAAGTTACTGCTGTTATTCCACCAGAATAAAGATTGTATCAACATGCTTGTATCGCCTGAAATAGTTGAGCTGTTTGACTGTTTAGTTGTAGTCTTTAGCAGTGCCTGTGCAAACGTACATACCTGACAGCTTTTGTCTGAGAAGGGATTGAAGTCTAATTCTTGTATTGTGGTTCACACTTTGGAGGAAATGAAATGTTTTGTTTAGGTGGAAAACATCGACATGCCTTTCAAACAAACATAGTCATAACCACAGACTCAACATGCCTTCTCGACAGCACAATACCCAACAAAACAATTAACAGGAAAACACCTGAATTTGGAATGTGGAACACTTTGTTCTGTCTACCTTTATTTTCTTCACTGCCTTTCTCAGTGGACAGCTGACATTATTTGCAGACAACTGTTAATAGAGATTGAAATATCAGACATTCAGTGGGACGGGCTTTCAGTATGCCATGAGTTTCATTTGTATTCATTTGTTCCTGGATGCATTTTTGACTGACTGTCAATTAAACGTGTGTGTGTGTGTGTGTGTGTGTGTGTTTGGTTTTAAACCAGATGTCACTATAATGGGGACTTGGATATTTTAAAAACCCCGTCTTGAAGGAAATTGTCCTTGTTTTGATTCACAATGTCTGTGACAACATTTTTAGATGCATTTTAGTTTTCAACCTTCTGCAGGCACGAGCCTTACCCAGAATTTTAATGTATTTTATTGAACCTTTATTTAATCAGGAAAGAGCCTCACTTAGTTTAAAAAAAATCTCTTTTACAGGAGTGTCTATCTTGTCAATATAACTTGCACACACATACCCAAAACCTACACAAATTAAGACAAACATAAAACATGCAACAATAAATAAACAAAAACAAACAAACATTTACAAATCATTGACATTGACTTCCAAATATAAAGTGATAAATGCAGCTACATTTTACACTAACTCTATAATTTCTCTGAAAACCTCTAAAGATCAAATAAATTGTTAAAGGGTCAATGACATGATGCAACTAAACAAGTAAAACAGGAAAAACAGTAAATGATATCATAGAGAGAACCCCTGAAAACCATCATGACTTACTGTCAAGGTCATACTTTAAAATAAGTTTGATTCATAAAGGTTCATTAATTTTAACACTTGGTCTCAGCTTTAATTATTTAAGAGGGCTGCAGAGGTTTCTTAACTTTTTAAGAGGTTTCTTAACTATTACATTTTTAAGAATGTGGCATGCATTTTAAACTACATTCTAAAAGATTTTTCCTTTTTCTTTACTTTGTCTTACTGTTTCATTTGTCATTAATCATAAATCTGACGCTGTTATAACACATTAGCTGGAACATAATTTAAAAAGGAGTTGCTTCAGTTATCATCTGAATTCCTTTTACTGATGTTTTCATGCTTTTTAATTATTAACAGATGTCCTGTAGTAGGACACAGTACAAACTACAGATGTATTTATATTAATCATCCTAAAACCATGACAAGTGCCATTTAAGACCAAATTAATTTTAGCTTCTGCAATACGCTCATCATTCAGCTAAGACTCGGGGTACTGGCAGATGTGTTAAGGAACGTTTAGTACTTTACCACGAGGTCTGGTTTGTAGACTCTCACACACACACACACACACTCACAGAGAAGGACAGTGTACAGAATAACGTCCATCTGGAAATGTGTTTACTGCAGTCTAAACAACTGTAAATTACAACAAACACAGGTTGTAAACTCACTCTCAGTTTCTTAGTTGCTTACACATCCTTTTTCATCTCTCTAGCACACACAGAAACATTTCTGGTGTTCAGTGGTAATTAGAACAGATCAGATCTGAGCTATCAGTTGTCACCTGTCATCATACCTGTCATTGTATTTAACAGAGCTAAAATATCACAGTACCTCGTTTTACTAAATATACTTTTGTAAGCTTACTCTACCCATCAGTTGACTTCATTACCCTACATTACATAACATCCCTCGCACTGCTTTGTAATACTTCATCTGACCTACAGAATATAGCACATATTTGTGTCATGTTTATACTGTTTCAATTGTAGTTCTAGAATCACATGTAACTTCTGACCTTCTTAGATAATCATTTTGATATAGTGTGCCTACTAGTTAGTGCAGTCAATTCCAGGCACAGATTCACACACACTATACGACTGAGAGTGTGATGAGTAAGTAATTATTAAAAAACTTAGTTAAAACATATTTCCAATTAATTTGTCTATTTTTGATCCACACACACATACACACACACACACACACACACACACACACACAAGAAATTTAAATGAACTAATTGGATGAGTGAGTGATTCAATGACTTACTCATAAAGACAGTCATTTATCATTTGTTGAAAGGGTCAATGATGTGCTAATGCAGACAGTGAAAAAATAAAAAATAAAAAATAAACCAAGCGGACTGATATTTACCAATAATATGTTTTAGTAAGCTGATATTTTAATGCTTAATTTTATGATCACAGCTCTGTAGTTTTAATTGAAGGAGGCAATGCATTACGATGATGTACAAATAAACATTCCTCAAAAGCCTGTTGTATCATGATTGATACATTTTAACATGATTTTTTAAACGATGTATGGATAATCAAGTAAACCTATGTAAGTTGCTTCAGTCCCCTAAGTGTTCATCTTGAAATATCATTAACAATATACAAGTTATGTATATGTTTGCTTTATAAAAATCTGTAAAATTTTCACAGCAAAAAGACACTTGTACCACATCTTTTGAATCTTCCTAAAAGGCCTTTTACTTACTAATGTATACTATCAATTATATAACAAAAGGCATGTGTGCAACAGGTTTTTCAGAAAAGTTTGGATCATGTTGATAATATAGAGGCTTTATAAGTTTGTGTACCAAATATGAAACAGTAGGCTTTATAGGGTTAAGCTACCCATCTGTGTACCTCAGTACCTCACATTAGTAAATTTACATTAGTTTGGACAGAGAACCCGGGCTCTGTGAGGCCCATAGCCTACTCACTGGGTCTGGAGGAGGGGATTCATCCATAATCATTTTGTCCTGGGCATTTAAGGGATGACCAGTGACCCATGACCCTGACTCAACCTACCAATCTACCTCAATATCTCACATTTCTTATTATATCTCAGCACCTTACTCAACTTACCGGCCCATCTCAATAACCATCAATCTATATACCCTAATACCTCAAATTAAAGGCTTACTCAAGCTACCACTCTAACATGAGAATGAATGAATAATTAAACAAATGAGTAGTCAAAAACATATTTTTTTAGATTAGTGTGGGTGTGTACAATTGTGAGTTTCAGCTTCACAGGAGCTGCAGTTGACCCTTGACCTCTCCCTACCCCGCAGGTGCATACTGAGAAGGTGATTGAGGTCATTCCTGCTACTTTCGTTTGCTTCTGTCTCCCAGGCAAAACTCCCCACCTCTCTCTGGCTTTGGTTCCTGTTGTGGTTAACTGGAGTCTGGGTTCAGCTCTGTAGATACTCATCTGTAATCTCCTTAAGCAGCTTAGATTGGTTTTGAACAGTTTCGAAACTTTCCCTGCAATTACTAAACAGCTAAGCATGGTTTTACCTCATTCAGAAGTAAAACAGAGAGCGTGCGAGAGAGAAACAGATGCTGCCTCACTTGTTAGCTCTCCGTGCGTCACTTGCGCATCGGCTTCCGTCTTTAGACCGCTCGTGATCGCTGTTCATGTCCCTAGAGCGGTAGTGCTGTAGAAGGCAGACTGCACGAGCTCATGCGGCCCGCAGGGCGGACCGAGGGGTGGAGCCGCTCCCGGTGTATATAGAGCAATTCCATGTTAGTCTGGGGGAAAGAGAGAGAGAGAATCCCGTGTCCGAGAGCCGCACTTCACCTAAAACAACTTTAATCTGAGCGTGAGAACCGAAAGAATCAGAGCACTGGAGTTTATTCACTGCACTGCAGCATGCATGGGAATCATTTGATTCACTCACTCCAGGAAAAGCCCATTTAGTCTGCAACTTCATGATTTCAAAGCCGGGATTATTTTTTTTGAAACACTATATTCCTACCTGTCAGATAATATGTTTTAAACGATTCTTTGAAGTCTGAAGTGTCTCGGTGCAGTGAGCTTGAAGGACGATCCTGGCTGTCTCCTGGCTGGACTCGGTACCCGTGTTAGATCGAGAAATTGTGTGTGACTCCTTTACCGAGTATTATCGGTGTGCGCGGCTTATTTCCACACTAGAGGCGCCGCCTTTGCTCTGAACACACACACACAGGTGCCAGAGAGACACACACACTTCCGATTGAGTATTCGAGTAAATGCAGATCAGCGAGGATCACCCAGGACTTTACGCGGCACCGAGTTGGATTTACAAAGCAGATTTGTCCCTGTGTGACAACATGATGGATGCATGCATGAGGGCGCGCGAGATCAATACACCTAATTAATCAATACCCTCTAAGCGCACGTGAAGATCAGCTCCGCTGGATGTGTATGACCGCATCTCTATCACCAGGTGGCTTTTCAAGTGCGTGTTTCCGAGCGCGTTTCTCCTGTTGGCGCATAAGGTGTTTTAGGAGCCACTAAGCAAAAGCGCAGAGCGACAATGCGCGTGCGGGGTTAATATAAACTTTGCTTTGCGGCGGAATCGTCTGGATCTGGACTCTAAACTCGCGTCCCCTGTACAGAAGAGACTACGTAGACCCCAGATGGGAGCTGATCTGGATTGAATTGCAATTTGTTTCCCTTTGTAAAGAAGAAGGGAAAAACATTCCAGCCGGAGGAGATTACAAGTGTTTTCTTCTCAAAGATCATTTGCTGTGACTCCTCTCGTTTTTGGATTTAAAGCTCCTGCGCCTGATTTGGTGCAACTGTTTCGCACCAGGAATTTCGTGCGTTTTATTAAAACTCGGAGGAAACAGCCGTAATGTTTGTGTTGAAAGCAGTGGTTCTCTGTGCATTGCTCAGCGGGGCTGGGGCTCAGTCGTGCCCGTCTCAGTGCTCCTGCAGCGGGACAGCGGTGGACTGCCACGGGCAGAATCTGCGGAGCGTGCCGCGGAACATTCCCCGCAACGCCGAGCGACTGTGAGTGCGCCGAAACACGCACCATAAACACGAATACACTGGCCAGTACTTTACTTTACAATGTGCATTTGAGCCACAAAATTATTATAACATTATAGTTATTATCTCTTTAAATTAATTCAGCATGCACACAGGACGACCAAATATTCTTCATAATATGCTGTATAATGTTATTTACTGTTATTTACTGTCTGTTATTAAATCTGACTGTTATTAATTTTTTATAACAGTGTGCATTTAGTATAATAAGCCACACAAACGATATATTGATATTATTCTGTTACATGCTTCTTGAAGTGCTGTCATCAGCACAACAGCAGAGTGTCCTTTTCTATTCCACTCACGCATATCTCAATCTGTCTCTTACACTGACTGTCTTTCTGAAGTGGGGTTCGTTAATTAAACTGGCATGAAGTTTTAAACACAACCTGCGCTGCTTTGACGCTGCAAGAGCCAGAGGAGCTGTTGGACCACCAGACGCAGTTCAAATCCTGCCTTTTACGTAATTGTTAGAATTTCAATCACTCCTGGCCTGTGCTATTATTTTCTTTGTTTAATACTACTATATGCATTTTTGGCTGGATAAGCTGTAAGTAGCTGTCATTTAGAAACGTAGGTTCCAAAGGCTACATGACACCAACGTTAATTGGTCAGGATTCAGAATTCAATTAGAACCCTGCAAAGAACTCATCCACAGTCTAGCACATACTTGACCAGTGATAAAACACACTCAAGGATGGTGCATGATGATGCAGACTATTTAAGCAATCTAGCATGCTGTGGAATATGTGAAATCCATTGTAGTGAAGGCCAGTGTAATGAAGTGGCCAGAAAAAAAAAATGTTTCATAGCATCATTTACCACTTTATGGCCTAATTTAGACTTCTTAATTATGGCTAAATACGTAAGTCATTATTCACCATTTTACCCCCCTCTTTTCTTTCCATAGTGACCTGAATGCAAACAATCTGACTAAAATCACAAAGGCAGACTTCGCGGGACTACGGCACCTCAGAGTTCTGTAAGTACTGAACTAGTTTTATGAACTGTTTTTTTTATTCGTTTTAATGTTTGTTTGCATACAACCTAAATGTTTTAAGAGTGTATCTTGCATGCAAAATTCACAATGTAGATTTTATTACAAAACAAGCAAAAACAACTAGAAAAAAGTTTGTATGTAAAATAGAAAATATGAAATATTTGCCAGGCAAATTTTAAAAATACATATGTTTTTGTTTTATCTTCTGAAATTAATCACCCACCCACACACACACACACACACACACATATATATATATATATAAATAAACACATAAACACATGCACACACACACACACACACACATATATATATATATATATATATATATATATATAAATAAACACATACACACACACACACATTTTTTGCATGTTGTTGTGAAAATTCCCATTATCCAGTAAACATATTGGTCCCCAATCTTCCCATTATTAGATTAATGCCAGTGAAAGCATCGTTATGCCAAATGGCATGACTTGTCACAAAATACATTGTTCTGGGTTTTATTGGAGGTTAAACACTTGTAGTATATGCACACTTAGAGCAAACGAGTTTTAACGATGAAGCTTAACGAGGCAGTGAGCTATGATTGTCAAACACAAACAAAGGCAGCATTTATTCAGAAAAATGATTGCATTATCGGAATGTGAAGTGCCTCTCTATATCTTTCTTTCTTTCTATTTTCCTCTCTGGGTCTGTGTGAGGTTGTGACAGAGCGGGAGATTTTGTGAATGTAGATGTGTGTGAGTTGAAATGTGTTGGTGCGAATGTATGTGTTAGAGAGAGAGACATATAGAGAGCTCATGTAAGAACAGGTTTGCTCTCCCACTTGGAGAGTAATATTTCAGCTGAAGACTTTCTCCCTGTCTGTCTTTCCTTTCCCTCATAGATGCATTCTTTTCTCTTCCTCTCTCACTCTTACTTTTTCTTGCTCTTCTAAGACATCACTGAAATGATCTGTATCTCCAAACTTCATCTAAACTGCCAACACATATACTTGATTCATATGAGAAACAATTAAACATAAACAAACAAACAAAGAAATTACTCTAACCTAGTTTATTATTCTTCTGTGTGGTTGCCGGTGATTTTGACCCATTTTAGAGTGTTCCAATTTAAGACACATACTTTAAATTTACATTAACCGACACTTTATGACATCCTTCACAGATCTCTCACACAGACGCTCAGTCAAACAGAAAATTGTGACTTGTGAGCTGTGATTTCTCATGTAGGGTCAATTTCCAGCTACGGAAGGGTTAAATAATGCATCAGTAAACCTTTGAATGATGTTATAAATATATGATTCCCATACCGCAGGGCTATACATGTGAAAGTTCACCTGGGTCTCTGTGATGTTGTAATGTACTGCTATAAAAAGGTAAAAATGTAGTAACTACGCTAAAGCTGAAACTGAGAAAAATTGCAATGTTGTTTGATTTAGTGATTTGACACGAATTGTCACACTCTTTTTACTCTTAATCTGAGCGCAGTTGAGACAAACCTGTGTGTCACAGGACAAATCACAGTATAAGAGACTCGATTTCAGCCAATTTTGACAGGCGTTTGCTTTTGTAGGCCAGTGTAGCTGAAGGAAAATGGTGCAATTATGTTGTTTTTTTAAATCATAGTCTAAGTATAGATGTTGTATTTAGACTGGGGTTGAAAGCTCTTATTTACGGTGGTTTTATAATGAGAGGAGGGTCTCCGATCATGAGATATCTTGTGAAATGGTGTTTGTAAAAACTATTTGCGGACAATGAAATGTAAAGTGCTTTCTACAAAAGTGCCAAGTATGAACAGACAAATTAACTATTTTAATCTTTAAAAATTCATGCAATGAGTGACTTATCTTTATTTTGGTCTCTCTCTCTCTCTCTTTCATTTCCTTTCTTAGGCAGCTAATGGAGAACAAGATCAGTTCTATTGAGAGAGGGGCATTTCAGGACCTGAAAGAGCTGGAAAGACTGTGAGTGACTAATGCACACACACACACACACACACACACACAAACACACGCGCGCACACACATACACACACACACACACACACACACACACACACACACACACACACACACACACATTTATCATGGGGACCTCAAAAATGTCCCCACAAGGTCAAAATTTACTAGTATTACTATCCTTGTGGGGACATTTGGTCCACATAACGTGATAAATACCAGGTACACACACACACACACACACAAGATATGCTGCACTGGCTAAAAGTCAGCAGCGTATTTGTGAGTTAACATTAACTGTGTGACCTGCCAAGAACAATTAATTGCAAAATGGCATTGCACAATCAAGTGTGTGTTTTCATACCTTAATGGTGGACATTGTATGTTGTGGGCATGTGTGTATGTGCGCATTGTGGTCAGGATTTCATGGAGCAACATTTTTGTCTGACAGCCAACCCAGCCTCAGGGGAACACACACATGCACAACTAACTCTGGCACACACAGGCCTTTAAGAGAATGACACTGGAAGCTGGAATGGAAACGGGAATTATGCTCTTAAGGAACCCCCCCCCACCCACCTTTTCTTTCAAGCTCTTACCCCCCAGCTATTCTCCATTTTCAAACCATATTCATTCTGATGGCCTTTATCTCTTTGTCACCGACTCAGACAAAAGTTTAGGTTTCGTCAGTTTCTTAAAGTGCTGCACTTGGTGTACTGCAGATCTCCCTTCATATTATATGATATGAACCAGTATGACAAATTAATATAGAGCAAACACGGAATTGAATTAGCATTTTTGAGCCATGAGCTCACCTGAGGGATTTCTAATGGGTTTTTAAAAAAACAGCTTTCTATTTATGAGTACAGTGAGGTCTGTGGTTAACAAGTTGCTACGGTTGTCTGATTTGTCCAGCATATAAAATTAAATCCTTGTAGTCAAAGTCCTTATGTACATTGCAGAAAGTGGTGAACTGCAAGGAGTCTTTTCTACCCATTAAATTTTGTTCATGTATTTAAGTTGCTTCAGTGAAATATTTTTAAACTGAATAAAATCAATTTACTAATATATTTGTTACCACATGGAGCACGTTTTTGGGTTAACATTTTTTTTTTGTTGCTTTCAAAACAGTGTCTTGTATTACAGAATTATCTGACTATTATCTGACTTTATCTACTATTTAAGTGTCTTTAGCTACAGTACTATGCACTAACATTTAAATTAATCATTTGATACAGTGAACATAGACTATACATGTTTTTACATCGAACCTAACAATTCTTTAATACACACACACACACACACACACACACACACAATCCCACACACTCTCACACACACACACACACACAAATTATTTTTTAATCATAAATTGTGTTTTCTTTTTACTCAGTAACTGCACAGTACACTGCACTCTTATTTTACTCATAAATTCTAAAAACCCATTTGACATTCTCAAAGGAATCTAGGGTGAATTAGCAATTAATAATGGATTACAATTAATAAAGCTTATTGTGCAGTTCAGTAATGTATTATACAATGAATGAAGGCCACACGGATCTTAAATTCCCCACAAAACCTTATTTCTCTCCTGAGGAGAGATTAAACACTATGTTAGGCCATTGCATGATCATGATTACTGTCTAGATTCTGACTGCAGAAACAATATTCTTTTAGATGATTGACTGTCAGTTCCCATCTCTTAATGGTGACTGGCAGATGTTCGGTTTACACGCATGGTCACATTAGAGCTGGCATTTAGAGCCGCGCCGCGTGAAGCTCAGTCAATCACCTGCTCAATGCTCTCCTATTTTTTCTGCTAGTCATTACCTTTTAATTTGTTGAGGAAATGTTTAATGACTGCGACCAGCCCAGCTGAACCGCAAAAGCCTTTTCCCAACTCGGCTCTGTGAGAAACACATATAATTCACTCACGAATTTGACAACTTTTAGTTTAATAAAGGATTTGTGCTAGCTGCGTGTGGCTCTGAATGCTAACTAGCGAAAGGGTCAATGGCATTAACCGTGACTGCGGCTTTGTGCAGTAACATATAGCTCATAAAGCGGAGTACAGCTAACTGGTAATAGCTTGTAATAATAGCAAACTTGCTTTTGGCATAAATTGTGCAGTGTTGGCATAACTGAAGGGTTAGGCAGGCGAACGGTTGCGACGAATAGCTCTTTCTAGTGATAAGTGTAGGGATAGAGGAGCTAGCGGTAGCGCTGAATAGCACAGCTAAAGTCAGTGTGTAAGATCAGTCCCACTGTGCCGGTACAAAAGCAGGAGTCTAATGCTGGAGGGTGACTGCATAGCTGAGAGGATTAGAATGCACAGACATTATAATGCTCTTACCAAAGGCCCTTCATAAATATGTGTGTGTGTGTGTGTGTGTGTGTGTGTGTGTATGCGTATTGGGGATGCATTTAGGTATTGGGTGTGACGACCTCCCGTAGGGAGGAAAAGTGGAGGCTCTGTTCCACGTATGACCCCCCTTTTTAGACACCCACACATCCGCACAAACACCCTTCGTCACGGCTTGCTAGTCATGAGCAATGCAGTCAGGTAAAGTAAACCTATGGAGAAGGACTTGAGCAAGCTCATTTTCATCTCAGACTTTTCTTCATGCGTTCTCTTTCCTTCCTCTGTGATGCCGCTTGTTTTGCCGTTCTTTTTTCCTTCAGTCTTTGTTTTTTATTTCTTTATAAACACACAGTGTTGGGCTAGCTGTTGGTTGTGTGGATTGAGACCAGACCGGCATATAGTCTAGTCCACATTGCAGCTCATTCTCTTTTTGTTTTATTTTGTTTTTCCGTCTCATTTAGTTTAGTTTTGTGTCTTTTGTTTTGTTTTGTTTTGTTTTTGTTTTTCCAAAAAAAAGAAAGAAAAAAGTGGTAACACTTTATTTTAGGGACCAATTCTCACTATTAACTAGTTGCTTTTTAGCATGCATATTACTAGCACATTAAGCACATATTAATGCCTTATTCTGCATGAGCATATTTTAGATCCCTTAATCCTACTCCATAACTTAACAACTACCTTACTAACTATTAATAAACAGCAAATTAGGAGTTTATTGAGGGAAAAGGCCTAGTTAATAATTAGTTAAAGGGGTCATAGGATGCTACATGCACTTTTACAAGTTGTTTGAACTGAAATGTGTGTTGGCAGTGTGTGTACACAACCACCCTATAATGATAAAAATCCACCCAGTGTTTTTTTTTTAATCTCGTTAAAAGTTTTCCCCTTTCTCAAATCGAGCCGATCTCAGATGCCTGTCTGTGTGACGTCACAAAAACAGGCCCCTCCCACGATAGTTTGATTGACAGTAGCGTTTCAGCACAGACTGGACTGTTGTCTTACCTTAGACCCGCCCTGAGTGAGCTGTCATCAGCCTGCCATTGTGTCGACTCCGGTGCAGGGGAAGACAAGAATGTCTCCTAAGCGATTGAGGTATTTTGTTGTTGGATGTAATAATGAACATAGCAGTCGTCATTTACTCCCGACATCTGAGCCGCTGAAGACGCAGTGGATTACATTGTTTCTGAAGGGAATGCGCCCCCGGATCTACATAAATGCGTCTATGTTCACGCGAATCATTCGTGATCCAGCCTCATCTACAGAAGAAGAAAGTGTTTTGTAATGAATCTTTGCAAATCACCTTTGCTAATAATGTGCTAATTAGCAAGTTTAAATGAAACTTTGTTTGTTGAAACAAACAAAACAAATGAAATAGTTAAAAAAAATGGCAAAGTTTTATCCATGAACAGTTGTTCAGAAAACTCCTTAAAATATTGCAAAAAGGAATATAGACTCTACAACTGATCATTTTGCAGAAATAAATGAAGATAAATTAAACGCTGACTATCTTTCAAACATTTGATACCGTTATCTCAACAAACTTCCGCAATTATTTAATTGTAAAAAGCACTCGTTGTATCAGGCCGGTACCTGACTTTGTGTCCCTCTGGGCTTGTGTGCCTATAAGGAAGTTGCACAGATTCAGCCAATCAGATTAGTGCTTGCCAAATGAAGAAAGTTGTTTCCAGTTTTGTGTGCAATATGCATCAGGCTGTCAGTGAACAGCCTACTGATTTATAAACGAAGCCATACACTTGTCTCATTCGCTGTATGTGATTGATTGTGGACCATGTCTGCTTTATGCTACAGTAGCTGTGTGCGTCTTCACACTGACTTTCAATCCATTCTTTCCTCTGTTCAGTCTTGTTGCCTGTTTTTTGGCATTAAAAGTCATTTCACTTTATGGCCCTCCTTGGAAATGACTGTGAGTGCATGTCTGTGTGTGTGTCAGAGTCTGGCTATGTGCATTTCTATCTGCAAGTGTGTGTCTGTGTGTACTCGTCTATTTTAAGGGTCGATCTTATTCGCTTTAAGCACCGGGTGTGTGTGAGTCTTTGTGTGTTTCTGCAGCGGGGTCCTCAGGGAAGGCTGTCCTCTGTGTCTGAGTGAAACACGTCGGCATTTCTGGAGTGTGCAGCACTGTGTGCCTCGTTATTATTTCATCATTCATTAAATATTCAAATGGAATGATGTAACCCCAGAAGCTGAACGATGATGTCATCGGCTGCTGTGTTTGAGTGCGCGAGTGTTTGCGAGAGTGTGTCAGAGAAAGCGAGGGTGTAAAAACAGAGAGGGAGAGTGAGAGCTTTATGGTTTCGTACTTTGTGCAGGCAGAGTTCACTTTAGAACTTGGGCTTGTGTGATTGACGTGCGGGAAATCTTGCATGCTGACGTCAGGGCACAAGAACTGAACGGCTGTTTGTGTTATTTTAACATTCTTCCATTATTGTAGAAGTTCTCAGAACTTGGTAGCTTAATAGGCCGCTCTGAACGATCTGTATTCTGGTATTAAAAACATTATTGATTAATCTCAAGCCTCATTAATCTAATGCACAGACAGCAGTGGCGCCACTCTTCATTAATATGCACAGTGGGTATTATATATGTGATGTTGTAATGCATAATGTCTATTATACATACACTAGTTGGGAATATTACCCAGTTTATTACAATGTCAAAGAATCGAGCAAGAGAGAGTGAGAAATTACTTTTTATTGCCGAATTGTCGTTGAACTAAAGCAAATATGCATAATTTCCTTTCATCACGTGTGTGCATATGTGTTTGTGTGTGTGTGTATTTGCACTGTAAGTTCTTTTGCTTCACTTTGTGTGAGAAGTTCTGTTTGTTTTTCCCACATCTGTTTTTCCGGGCTGTTCTTTGTCTGCGTGTGTTTGCTAGATGCCCCCGCACACTGACAGTGTCTGCCAGCCACACACACACACGTGCGCGTGCAGAGTCAAGGCCCAAGTTGATGGCTGGAAGGCCTGAATTTAAATATTTTATAACATTAAATGTTTAAAGTATTTTTCCTAGAACAACACAATCAGTGCATACTTCTGTAAACATTTAGATCTGATGTTTCATACGGAATCTATTAGGGCTGTGCGATATTGAAGAAAAATGCGATGTGCGATAACTCATTAAATAATGCGATATTCGATATCCGATATGATAATGCTTAAAATGCCACATGCTCAGATGAAACAGTTTTACTCTGTTAGCTGTTGCTGAGTCAGTTCTGTGAACTATAACTATCTTGTGTCATATATATATATATATATGGTTATTTGTATGTATGTATGTACTGTATGTACCTGTAAAACCACAACAAATTCCTTGTGTTCGCGCACACTTAAGTGAATAAAGCTCATTCTGATTCTGATTCTAATAAGAAAGCACCCCTACAACAACTTCTGAACGTGAACGGTAGTGTTTTACTCAAGCATTACATAAAAATGTAATTTTAACATTAGTGTAATAATTTTAACATGAGTTTAGGAACTGAATAATAAAAAGGAAAAATAAAGCACTGTGTAGTATTTACTCTTTGAATTCAGTATGCACTGATTCTTATTTAAGCTACAAAAGTTATTTAGGTAAGAGCAGTGAGTGATTTTCTCTTTGTCTTTTGTTCATGGCCCCAAATATTGCAAGCTGTAGCGATATGCATATTGCGATATGTACATATGCGATATTTCGATAATTTCGATATATTGCACAGCCCTAGAATCTATTCACAATATTTACTAGGTTCATATTTGTCTGATGTTTTTCTATAATATGTCACTAAAGTAGATTATACCAGTTGTTTCATAACTTAATCCAGTCGGTTTTGCGAGCACACAACCACCCATGTTAAATCAGACTTTCTGCAAGGTCTGATTAGGGCTGGGCGATATAGCAAAAAAATTTATCAACGATATAATGTTTCATATCGTTTGGTATCGATAATTATTGACATTTTTTATAACCTTTTTTAAAACAAAAAGCAATAGAATTTTTTTTGTATTTATAATTAACACAATTTATTGAGACAAACAACAAACATTTTTTTGTTTTAACAATCAAACACAATAAAAATTAAACAAATATCTCATTTCTAATGCTTTATATGCAGATTAAATAGGTCTTTATTGTATAGGTCTAATTGTCTCCCGAGGCCACAGGAGGGCGCAATGAGCAAAATAATGCAGCGCATTTAAATTGTCAACGCAAGGAAGTAACTCTATAAAAACGTGCATTACTTCTAAATTAACTATATCTATTATAATTTCGTAAATTGCATAAACATTTATGAACAAAACAGCATCATGTATTTATGCATTGCTTAATCCAAAGAGCCGAAGCGCTATTCACACAGACTGCATTTAAAAACATATGAGACGCAGTGAAAAGGAATAAACCTCCACAAATTCGTGATGTGTTTTCTAAAAGTTTAAACTGTTTTAACTTTGCATGGCTTTCTATACATCTGCGAGTGCAGCAGTCATATTTGTCCGTCTAAAAAATGCACTGAATATGCGTTCTGTGTGAATGGCTTGGTTTTGGTTTTAACCTAATCAAGATATTCTCTGCATTGAGCTTCTATATTTCTCTAATATTTTGAATGAATAACGCAGCAGCGGCGCGTCTCGTGGGCTAGACTAACAAAACATTCAAATGCAACAACGTCACTTACATCATCATCACCGCATCTTGCGCACCACTGATGACGCTCCCTGACGCACACCTAACATTCAAATGCAAATGTTTATTTTAAATTCGACTAATATTCATTCTTTATTCACAATCTCCTCATCACAATGAGACACAGCACTCAATTCAGCATGTGTTCGTGTTTGAGTGTGCTGTCTGCGTCACTCATAGCACGTGCCTATATCGTGCACTATATCGAACATTTTTTCTATTGATAGCGAAGAAGGTGTACCGTCGATAAATATCGATACCGTTTTATCGCCCAGGCCTAGGTCTGATACGCTTCATACCATTTCTGGTGCCTCACAGTCACTGAATTTTGCTCCTGTGAATGTACATAAACTGCACCACTGTGTGTTTTGTGTGATTTCATGTCGCTGCGTGTGTCTGTGTTTGCAGGCGTCTCAACAGGAATAATCTTCAGGTTCTTCCGGAGTTGCTGTTTCTAGGCTCAACCAAACTCTTCAGACTGTGAGTCCTTTATCTTTTAGCCCCTCTTTTTCCCCTCTCTGTTTTTTTTTCTCACCCCCTTTCTTTCTTCTTTCTCTCCTCTTCATTGTCTCTCTCGGTTCTCCTTTTGTTGCCTTTTAAAAATGGTATTTTGGTCTCTTTACCAAAGTTTATTAATTAATATAGCTTTTACAAATCTATTTGCTTATTTTAATTACATTATATTCTTTTTCACGTATTTCTGTTGCTGTGCTGCAGTCGGATCTGGGATCTTTCACATCTAGGATGACTTTTTAATACATTTAAATGTTGCTGTTTGCTTCCCTAATGTTCTGTTTGGTTTGTAGATTCGGTTTTAATAAATTGTTATCAATACCAAAAGATAGTGACATTAAATTTGGAGGAAAATTACAGCATAAACACAGCAAAATCTTGAGATCTGTCTTCTAAATCTCGCTCATTACTCCCAGACAGGAGTGTGTGTGCATATGTGTGTGTGTGTGTGTTTATAATTGAGTTATGCAGGACATCTAGAGATCAGCAGAAAGGGAGGTTCAGACCATGAACAGACTAAATTGAGTTAAAAGGAGATACATGCTTAAACATCTGCTGCTCAGAGAGAGCGAGAGGAAGGATAGCGAGCGCTAACAGCTTTACCAGGAAAAACAACATTCTAACAGACTTTGCAGGAGGTTGATTGAGGAAATGTCTGTGTGTGTGTGTGTGTGTGTGTGTGTGTGTGTGTGTGTGTGTGTACACTGCTGCACATATCGCTCATGTTTCTGCCATCATACAGCCACTCTTCATGTTCTAGACATGGTATGGTTGTGTGTGTGGTCTCCTAAAAATACACTGGGATCTTCAGGCTCAACTATCAGGTGTGTGTATGTGTGTGTGTGTGTGTGTTTGTGAGACTTGGAAAATGCTGGTCTTTAAAACAGATCTTAAAGAAATAGATTAATGTGTTCACAAAAGCACTGTTTACTTGTTTTTATTTTAGATTGTGTGTGTGTTTGTGAAGGGGTCAAGTTGTGCCTACATTGTAGGGAACAAATGTCCCCTCAGGGATAATAAAACCTGAAATAAGCTACACTGGGGGACCAGCCAATGGAAAAAGGGCTTAATAAACATCCTAAGTAATGTTTTAATGAAAATGTAAAAATGCAGAGCGTTTGGGTCAGGGTGAGGGATATGAAATATTATTAGCTCAGTGTAAAAAACAATAGAAGTCGATTAAAAGTGTGTGTGCACTGCAGGCACGTATGGGATTTTATGATTCTTAGGGAGGATTTTTCTGGTCTGTCAACTCAATTTCAACAAGATGGTAGCAGGTGTGTGAGAGAAAAAATAAACAATGAGGGAAAAAAAGAGGTGTACTTTCTGATAGCATTATTTGATTTGATGCCCTGGCACACACACACACACACACACACACACAGTGTTCTTTCCTCATTAGATTATCTCTGCTCGTCTACATCTGTGGCTAACATGTGCAGCTTTTATCTGCCTGCCTCTTTCATCACTCTGTCTATCTCGTTTTGCTTTATTTTGCTCCTTTTCCTGTTCTCTCATCCCTTCTATCTTTTATGCTGCTTTAATGTGCATTTCTTTCTTTCTTTCTTTCTCGTCTCTGTGTGTCCTCTCTCTCTGCCCCTCTGATCAGGTTTGACGTTAATGTGTCTGGATGGAGTGTGTGTGATTTTTTTTTTTTTTTTTTTTTGAGGGGGGATGTT